GCATGAATTAAATTACTTGTAGTCAGACATTATTTAAAAGAATCCAGAAAATGTTTGTATTATAGAAAATCTCACATTAAGTGAACTTGATTATGAAAACATAGAATTAAAAATGACTTTGGTTACAATTTATCAAGTGCCCAGTAAGTGCCAAGAACTGTACAAAGCAATAAATATTATTTAATTTAGGCCAGGCACGGTAGCTCATGCCTGTAATCCCAGCACTTTAGGAGGCCTAGGCGGGCGGATCACGAGGTCAGGAGATCGAGACCATCCTGGCTAACACGATGAAACCCTATCTCTACTAAAAATACAAAAAATTAGCCGGGCGTGGTGGCGGGCGCCTGTAGTCCCAGCTGCTCAGGAGGCTGAGGCAGGAGAACGGCGTGAACTCAGAAGGTAGAGGTTACAGTGAGCCGAGATTGCACCACTACACTCCAGCCTGGGCGACAGAGTGAGACTCCTTCTCAAATAAATAAATAAATAAATAAATAAATAAATAAATAAATAAATAAAAATAAATGTTATCTAATTTAATATAAGTGTCTTTTGAACTGTGGGGAATTATTCTTATTTTACAAGTTAGGAAACAAGAGTAAGAAGGTTATATAACATTCAGAGAGTACATATCCAGTAAGCAGCAGATACAGAAACTCTTATCTGTCTGGGTCTACAGCCAATGCTGTTAGCACTCCAGGAAAGGCAAAACTGAACTGGAAACCTTTAGAGATTATCTAATTCAATGTCCCCACCCCTTGTTACAAATGACACAAATGTTCAGCAGCACTAGAATCCCAGGGTTTCTACTCTTTGGTCAAGGCTTTCCCACTAGTCACTGTGTGTCGCTAAGTACAGCTGTTTTTTACGAAATGGATTCGCTATAAGATTCCTTTAAGTAAAAATTTTCCATAATACACTTTAATTCTAATTTGATGTACTAGAATTTGACCTATATACTTTTTTTTTTTCAGGCATCATATATGCAGTAAACAGGGGCACCCTAATGCTACAAATAGTATGTCTGAAAGTGTAACATTAGCTTGAGCTTCTGAATGAACTCATATTCTGCAGATTTCCCTAGTGGGAAAAAGGCATGAAATTCTGAAGTATTTAATACATATATATTGCAGCCATTTGGGTGAAAATGCCGTAATTCTGATAATTCTGGAAATTGTTTCACAGCTCAATTCTAAACCCATAGCTTTCCTGGGCTTTTTTTTTTTCCTCTGATTTCCATGGTACAAACCACCCTAAAAACACATGAACAGAGGAAAGGGGAGTTGAACATTAAAAAATAAAAAGAACATTTGTGTCCTTTCCTCCACTTACAATCTATCCCTTTTCCCCCAGATTTGTCTTCAGTATTATTTTTGAAATCCTGATGTGGATGTGTGGCAGCATTGAAGAAACGAAGAGAGCCACTCAATCTCCTCTTAGGTTTTAAGTTCTAGACAGTTGTCCATTGATTCCAGTACAATTAGTCAAGTGTTTGGCAGCTTTGAAGTTAGAAGTCTTGAGTTTAAGTTTCAGCCCCATCACTCACTAGATGAGTGTCAGTGAAACACCTTGTCTTCTGAGTCAGTTTTCCATCAGCTATAAAATACTAACCTGACAGGATTATTGTGGGTATCAAATCAAAATGTATTTATGCTTTGAAAACAAAAAAGCAAAGACAGAAAAGAACAAGGTGATCAACATTTTAAAAAAATTACCCTTTGTTTTTGCCATTTTCTATCAGGCATAATTGTACGTTTTTAGTGTATGATGAAACTATAAACATCTTTCTTGATTTCAGAATATGGAAGTGCTGGAAGACAATTTTCCGTTGATCTCTTGCATATCTGCACATGTTGCAAGTGAGGCACTGATTTCCTTTATTACAGACTATTTTTTCAATGATTTTTATAGAACAGCCTTGAAAGACGGAGAGAATGTCTCTTTGCGGAGCAAACAGCAGGCATGCTTACTATTCAGTATAAAAGATTAGAGTTCCCTAACTTTAGTGTTTCTCTACCATAACACAATCAGTTGTATGTGCAGCTGTCTATCTGGGCTTGTCCCTGTTGCCCTGTGGGAACTGGGCCTTGGGGTACTGGTGAAAAGGCTGATGCTCTGTCTACTTCTCTTGCTGTGAGTAGTAAAGCCTCTTGCCTCTGCCCCACGAGTCTTGTGTCTTCTAACAATCTTTATCATACTCTGTGGCAGGCTAACTTGTTGGCTGGCAAAAAATAAAATCTCAGGCCCTTCACAATTCTTGACAGGAAGTTGGGATGTAAAATGGGGAATGGTTTTTCCTTCTATCGTGACTTGAGACAATTTTCACAAAATATGTGTCAACTTTTTGAGAGTGGGCAGTATATTGTAGTGATTAATCTTATAGACTGTGCAGCCAGGCTGTTTGGGTTCTAATCCTGAATAGTGGTCCCTTTTAGTTTGGGTTCCCAGAAACAGACCCTGAGACATGGATGTGAGTGAGATTAGTTTATTTGGAAGGTGATCTTAGGAATCTGTGATAGGAACTGAGAAAGTTGGAATGGAGAGGGAAGGCAGACAATAAGTGATGAATTTTCAAGTGAGTTATGACTGTGGATAGCTAGAGTTTAATCTTATTTGGGAGCTCTTGGTAGCCAATACAGAACATGGGCCTCTGATTTTCCTACTTGAGGGGTGAGGGAGCTGGATGTTATACACTAAATTGCACGAGTCCTTGGTTAATGGGTCCTGGAAGAGGGTAGGTACTGATTCTAGTCCTGGATTTTTTTGGTCTGCCTTGCACAATACAAAATAGACTGCCACAGGCCCTGGCAGGTAGATGTGAGATTTGGGTATGCATCGCCCAAGGGAATGTAGTTGGCACAGCCACAGCTTTTCCTATAGATACCCTCCAGCAGTATAGTCTTATGCAGTTACTCAATCTGTTTATGCCCCTGTTTCCTCATCTGTACAATGGGAATAATAGCCTCAATCGTATAGGGTTGATGAAAAAATTAAAAACTCAGTCCATGTAAAACACTTAAAATAAGCCATAGTATTTCATAAGCACTTATGAAATGTTGTTTATTGTTGTAGAAGAAGGTGACCTTTTGTATTTATTGACATTTTTTTCTGTCTCATTCTCCAGCATTTTGGAGATTGACTTCTAATTTCTTAACATCGTGAAATGTTATTTTATTAATACTACATGCCTGTGATTGAGTCTTCTAAATTTGAGGTATATTTATGTTTGACATTTGTCCAGGGGCAGCACTGGCTGCCTCATGGGAAGCACCAGAAGGATGCGTTTAAAACTTATTCCTATTTAAATTTCCTTAGAGAATTTATGGGGCTCAGCACTCCTGAACTCTTTAATTTAAAGATTTACTGCTTTGTCAGAGAAACTAATTAAATCTTTTTTGAAGTGTCAGTAACACAGCAGCATTAGACTCAATTTTCTGTTCCTCTATTATGGGAATGAGAATATAAAATAGAAGTGTATTTTAAACTCAATTTTCTAGCATTATGTATCATTTATGTCAGACTCCTGCGAATTGGCATAGTAACTATGGAATTTGCCAAAACAAAATACGCAAGAATTTTAGTAAGCCTACTTAACTTTCGATTATGGTAAAATTCTACTATTAAGCTAAACAGCGCATGTAGGAAGTGACAACTGACTGGGAAAGAGGCCCATATTTATGGAAACCAACTCCTCAGAGGTCTATAGATTTGCCTGTTTCCTACCTTAGTAACATTCTTTTTTATTCTCCCTTTTCTTTTATTTTAGTAAGCCAACAGTCCTCTTGGCTTACTCGATCTTTTTTTTTTTTTTTTTTTTTTTTTTTTGAGACAGAGTCTCGCTCTGTTGCCCAGGCGTAGTGGCGCAATCTCAGCTCACTGCAACCTCCACCTCCTGGGTTCAAGTGATTCTCCTGCCTCAGCCTCCCGAGTAGCTGGGATTACAGGCGTGTGCCACCACGTCCGGTTAATTTTTTGTATTTTTTAGTAGAGACGGGGTTTCACCATATTAGCCAGGGTGGTCTCAATCTCCTGACCTCGTGATCCGCCTGCCTTGGCCTCCCAAAGTGCTGGGATTATAGGCGTGAGCCACTGCACCCACCCGGCTTACCCTGTCTTCACTCTTGACCTCTTATTTAAAGATCCCAGTCACTTTTACATATTATCCAAGTCCTTATATTAAGGAAATTGGCTAAAGAAGTTTCCCCAAACCCTTCTTTCATTTTTGCAGTTGCTCATATAGGTATTCTTTTTTCGTCTAAGGATATCTTAACACAATGTATATGTGAATATTGTTAAAAGTTAAGAAAGTTATAATTTTTCCATAAATATTTTATCAGTGTTTAGGCCAAAATAAAATTAGTCATAATTTTCTGCATTAATTTTCTGCATTAGTCATAATTTTTTGCAATGAAAATTTTAGTTAAATTTTTTTTCTAGTTATTGTTTTTTTTTCCACCTTAAACATCTTAAATTTGAACTCTACTAAATGGTGTTTAATTTTTGCTATGAACCACAAAGAGTTGTAAAAACCTATAAACTTTCTCTTAATCCATTAGTCAACTTTTAAAAAGCTTTTGATGTCTTATTGACCTAAAAATTTTTTCTAAGTAAAAGGTAGAATAAAATTTCCTATCAATTGAATCCATATACACTGTGACACTATTTTTATTGAGTTTTCCTAGCCATTTTCCTTCCTGCTGAATACCGGCCTGAAAAAATATATTAATATATATGAAAGAAATATATATTGCTATAGATAATATGAACCAAATGTTGTTATCTTAAACAGAATATTCAGGCTATTAGGGAGGAGAAATTAATGAAATTCAGCTAAATGCTAAACCCAAGTTTAAAAAATAAGTTCAAATTGTATTACAGATTTATGGAGGTTAAGAAGTGTTTTAATGTTTTTAAATGTTTTAAATAGTCTTTTAGTGCATATATGTGGTTATAAAATAATCCAATAATAATTGATTGAATTATATCTCTTTGCTCTTCATCAGCTCATTTATGGAAAGTCATCCATTTGTTGAGACCAGCCCAAAAGACCCTCAGGAACTTAGAATATTCCTACCGACTTTGAAGACCATAGCCCCAAAGCTGAGCTGTGAAATGGAGCAGCAAAGAAGAGTATCATTGTCAAAGCTCAAGTTCCATCAGAATGATAAAGTAGGCAGAAAGTGTTTTGGGGGCCACCACTGCCTTCTCTTTCTGCACTATCTCCTACCTCCCTTCCCTCCCAAGTGCCCAGGGTCCTAGGCCACATCCGATCTATTTGGGGTTCCTCTGCAGCATCCCACTAAAGCTTACTTTTCATGGGTATATTCTAAAGTGAACCAAATCCTATCTTTCAACAAAAGTTGCTACTCTTTATTCCATTTTTTATGGGCCCCATTTTTTTCCTCGGGAAAGATAATATTCAAAAAATCTATTTCTGATAAATTGTTAATGATGAGAATGGATTTAGGAAACTGGCACAAAAATACTTGCTGAAGATATAAAAGCATCTGGTAATCTAATAATATCTGTAGGTCACATGTATATGTTCTAACAGGGGCCACTTGGATACATTTCTTAAATTACAGAAAATGATGTGGTTATAAAGTAATCCAATAATAATTGATTGAATTATGTCTCTTTGCTCTTCATCAACTCATTTATGGAAGGTCATCCATTTATTGAGACCAGCCCAAAACACCCTCAGGAACTAAATTTGACAGTTCCAGACCTATAAGAAAGTTCTATCTGGGGGTAGGTCACCCATTTATTAACTTGATGGCTTCATATAATTGATGCATATGGTGAGCCTGGTCTTACGGGCAAAGTCTGTTATTATATGAATAGGCATTGAGTTCAAGGTACACTGTTGGAAATTTGAGGCTTATCAGTGATGCTGACTATTTCTGGGCACTGGTACAAGCCCCAGAAAGAAAGATTAGTTACATGTTTTCTTTAGTGATGACATGAATTAAATAATACACTCTGAGATTAAATTTGTCACCTATTCAACAGAGTACTTACAAAAGGCCTCAAAGCAAATATAGTCTGTTAAGTGTAAAAACTGGGGAATGTTGACAGCTGCCAAGCCCATATCGTGTTTACACATTTTATATGCTAAGCAAACATGTCAGTCAATTTGTCTGACCTAGCTGTGCCCTCTTCCTGAGAACCTGTTACCATTACTTTTGGTGAATGCACAGCAAGCCACATGACCCCGTCCTCCTGGACACAGTGGCTTGGAACAGAGATGAAAGAGACAGAGGAAGAGAGGGAGATACACGTAGAGGCAGAGAGAGGAAAAAAGGGCAAAGCCAGCAGGTAGTCAAAGACCAGTAACCATGTGGCTCCAGTGAGAGAGGGAGGAAAAAGGAAAAAGAGAGAGTACACATTTTGATTTCAGAGATCCTTCCAATTCCTCATTGTAGTTCTGTGAGTGGCCCAGATGTATGTTCTATCCTGATTCTATAAGATAATCTGTGTAACAGAGAAAGCTAATTTCTATAACAGTATCCAACAGAAATAGAATGCAAGCCACATGTGTAATTTAAAATTTTCTAATAGCTACATTAAGAATATTTTAAAAACAAGTGAAATCAATTTTAGTAATATATTTAACCCTATATATAATATTACTATTCAATATGTAATCAATATAAAAATTATTGAGATGTTTACATTCTTATTTTTATACTAAGTCATTAAATTCTGGTGTGCGTTTTACACTTACAGTGCATCTCAGTTTGGACGACCGAATTCCAAATGCCCGATAACCACATAATAGCTACCCTGTTGGAGAGTGCAGACATAGAACAGTTACTGGAAGGCAGCTGCGCTAGCAGGGGCTACATTTCCTGGCTGTCTTGCATCTAGGAATGACCACATGACTAGTTATTACCAGACCTAAGAGTAGAAGCTATGTGTGTCACTTCCAAAAAGAAGGTGGTTAAGAAGCAGATATGAGGCCGGGCGCGGTGGCTCAAGCCTGTAATCCCAGCACTTTGGGAGGCCGAGACGGGCGGATCACGAGGTCAGGAGATCAAGACCATCCTGGCGAACACGGTGAAACCCCGTCTCTACTAAAAAATACAAAAAAAAAAACTAGAGGGGCGAGGTGGCGGGCACCTGTAGTCCCAGCTACTCGGGAGGGTGAGGCAGGAGAATGGCGTAAACCCGGGAGGCGGAGCTTGCAGTGAGCTGAGATCCGGCCACTGCACTCCAGCCTGGGTGACAGAGCCAGACTCCATCTCAAAAAAAAAAAAAAAAAAAAAGCAGATATGAGCTGGGCGCGGTGGCTTATGCCCGTAATCCCAGCACTTTGGGAGGCCGAGGAGGGCGGATCACAAGGTCAGGAGATCGAGACCATCCTGGCTAACACTGTGAAACCCCGACTCTACTAAAAATACAAAAACTTAGTCGGACGTGGTGGCGGGCACCTGTAGTCCCAGCTACTCGGAAGGCTGAGGCAGGAGAATGGCGTGAACCCGGGAGGTGGAGCTTGCAGTGAGCCAAGATTGCGCCACTGCACTGCACTCAGCCTGGGGAACAGAGTGAGACTCCATCTCAAAAATATATATATATATTTATTTTGGATGTTAAGCAAGAAATCAACTTTTCTGGTTTGAACTGCTATATATATTTTTCTGTTTGCTTAGCAGTTTAGCCTATTCTATCGTGTGTGTGTGTATGTGTATAGATATATACATATATACATATATATTTTATAGAGAGAATATATATATAGAGAGAGAGAGATTTGTACACTCATGTTCATAGAAGCATTATTTCTGTATTGCTGTTAAAAGCTTTTTCTATTTCTAGTGGCAAGTGATACTCTAAAATGTGTGTGTATGTGCACACACTAACTACCTTTGGGTTTTGTCAATGGGTAATTTATCTGTGTGTATTTTACCCAGCACCCAGCACATGTTTAGGCTGAAGACTTCTTTTTTTTTTTCCCCTTTTTGAGACGGAGTCTCACTCTGTCACCAGGCTGGAGTGCAGTGGCACAATTTCAGCTCACTGCAACCTCCACCTCCCAGGTTCAAACGATTCTCCTGCCTCAGTCTTCCAAGTAGCTGGGACTACAGGCATGCGCCACCACGTCCAGCTAATTTTTGTATTTTTAGTAGAGACAGGGTTTCACCATCTTGGCCAGGATGGTCTCTATCTCTTGACCTCGTGATTCGCCTGTCTTGGCCTCCCAAAGTGCTGGGAATACAGGCGTGAGCTACCGTGCCCAGCCAGGCTAAAGACCTTATCTGGAAAAATAAAGCTCTAAAAATAAATTGAGAGGAGAATATGAATGAACTATAAAACTCTTACAGGAAAACGTTGGACAAGATCTTCACAACATTCAATTTGGTGATGATTTATTGTATATAACACCAAAAGCACAGGCAACAAAAGGAAAAATAGACAAACTGGACTTGATGAAAATGTAAACATTTTGTGCATCAAAAGACACTAAACAGAGTAAAAGGTAACCCACGGAATGGAGAAAATGCTTGCAAATCATGTATCTGATCAAAGATTAATATCTAGACTATATGGGGAACTTCTAAAACTCAACAACAACGAAAACTAAACAACCCAATTCAAAAATGGGCAAAGGACTTGAATAGACAGTTCTCCAAAAAAGACATACAAATGGCCAATAAGCATATGAAAAGATGCTCAACATTAATCTTCAGGGAAATGCAAATTAAAACCACAGCGAGATACTACCTTATACCTGTTAGGACAGCTACCATAAAAAACAAATAACAAATGAAACAGAAAATAACAACTGTTGGAAAGGATGTGTACAAATTGGAACCCTCGTGCACTGTTGGTGGAATTGTAAAATGGTAGAGCCATTGTAAAAAATACTATGGCAGTTTCTTAAGAAACTAAAAATGGAATTACTGTATGATCCAGCAATTCCACTTATGGGTATATACCAAAAGAAATTGAAAGCAGGATCTTGAAGAGATACTCGTACACCCATGTTCACAGAAGCATTATTCACAATAACTAAAATGTAGATACACCCTAAATGTCCATTGTGGATCAATGAATAAGCAAAATCTACATACTTACTTATTTGTGGAGTATTATTTAGCTGCAAAAAGGAATGAACTCCTGACACATGCTGCAACACAGATGAACCTTGAGAACATTATGCCAAAGGAAAGAAGGCCGGGTGCAGTGGCTCATGTCTGTAATCCCAACACTTTGGGAGGCCAAGGTGGGCAGATCACCTGAGGTCAGGAGTTTGAGACAAGCCTGGTCATCATGGTGAAACCCCGTCTCTGCAAAAAATACAAAAATTAGCAGGGCGTGGTGGCAGGTGCCTGTAATCCCAGCTACTAGGGAGGCTGAGGCAAGAGAATCACTTGAACCCATGAGGCAGAGGTTGCAGTGAGCTGAGATCATGCTATTGCACTCTAGCTTGGGCTAGAGTGAAACTCCATCTAAAACAAAAATTTAAAAATTTTTACAAAAGGAAATAAGCCAATCGAAGAAAAACTAATACTGTATGATTCCATGAGGCACTTAGCATAGTCAAGATCATAGTGACAGAAAGTAGAATAGTGGTTGCCAGGGATTAGGACGTGGGGAACTGGGGGATCGCTCTTTAATGGGTATAGGGTTTCAGTTTTGTAAGATGAAAAGAGTTCTGGAGATGGATGGGAGTGATGTTTACTCAACAGTATAAATATACTTAATACCACTGAACTGTATACTTAAAAATCATTAACATAGTACATTTAATATTATGTATATTCTACCCCAGTAAAAATAATTTATTTTAAAAGTGTTATTTTAAAAAATCAAGAGGAGCATATGATCAAAGGCTTTAGAATTCTGAAAGGTTGGATTAGTAAACATGGAATTAATCTTTGCCAAGAGTTTTTCCAACCTCACTGTATAGCTAGAATAAGGAAAGGATTATTAATAAGCATAAACATTTAACATGCTTATTTTCATTGTGCAAAAATAATTCTGACAGAATACTTAAAGCTCCAAAGGCACTGTGTTCAGTCCTATGATATTTTCACAGGAAATATATCTATTTTTATGGAGGGAGATTCTGAAACGTAAAATTGTTAAATAACTTGCTCAAAGTCATTTGCCCAGTACTTTAAAGTGGGGCTTCTCAACTTCAGCATTATTGACTTTTGGGGCTGGATAATTCTCTGTTGTTGGGGCTGCCCTGTGCATTGTATGATGTTTACCAGCATCCCTGGTCTCTACCCACTAGATGTTGGTAGCACCCCTCCCCTTCAGGTTGTGATAAAAAAACTTTGTGGATTAGTTCAACCATTGTGGAAGACAGTGTGGCGATTCCTCAAGGATCTAGAACTAGAAATACCATTTGACCCAGCCATCCCATTACTGGGTATATACCCAAAGGATTATAAATCATGCTGCTATAAAGACACATGCACACGCATGTTTATCGCGGCACTATTCACAATAGCAAAGATTTGGAACCAACCCAAATGTCCATCAATGACAGGCTGGATTAAGAAAATGTGGCACATATACACCATGGAATACTATGCAGCCATAAAAAAGGATGAGTTCATGTCCTTTGTAGGGACATGGATGAAGCTAGAAACCATCATTCTCAGCAAACTGTCGCA